GATGTTCTTCTCTTTGTTGGCGATGTTCTTTTGCCTGTATTTCTGGTGATTGCTTGGATGCCATCAGCAGAGCCAATGCCTTCTTTTCCCAGGCATTTACCAAGTCTCAACATTTTAAGTTTGGGTAATGAATTTTTTGGAGATTGGATGGGTGTGGCACTTGTTTTGCACTAAACTCAGTATAAGTACTGCAGTAGTTGTTGATATGAGTATTTGCTTGAAGATTTTAATTCACTCTCTATTTATTAGGATTACATGCTGTGCCCATAGTTTGTTTTCTTTTGTAAAAATTGCAGATCCCATTCCAGCTTGGATTGTCAAAATTGGATCTACGGAAGGTGGTGAAATCCAGTTTATCTGGGGTAAGTCATTGTGTAACCTATAGTATCTCCTGCCTTTAGTATCAAAGATGGTTCAGTAACGCAAGACTAGTGTTGTTCAGGTTGACAAGTCCATCACTGCGATGTATAAGAAATTGCAAAAGAACCTAACCTCAGAGGAGGTTTTGCCTTCTTTGTGGGATAAGTGCAAGGTAAGCAAGCTCTTCTGTGAATGCATGTTCACACTCTTGTAAGGTTTACTATGTACTAATCAGGGGGAAGTCGGGAAAATATTTACCATAAGGTTTACACAGCAAAAGCTGCACCTGATGTTTTTGTAAATAGTTTTGGTCAAATAAGCTGATATTAACTATCCTCTTTCTGGTATATTTTGGTGATGCAAACAATACATTAAACTGCCTTGAATGGTTAAAGTTTTAGATCTCCATTTGACACTGCTATGTCTGTAAGGCTTCTGAAGCATATTCAGTAGTATGACATGTTAACTTGATGCATTGTAGGCCTACAGCTACTGTAAATTATGTGTAACCATTGACATGAAATATTGATAAGCTTTATGTTTAGACCATCAGCAGTAAAAAATGGGACTGTAAACCCTATTAACTTTAAGCACATGGCCTAGTAATGACATGGGCCCCTGCCAACCCTAGTAATGACATGTACCCTAGTAATGACTATAAAGCCTCGTAATGACAGGGTTCCCTGTGACTTTTTCTCATCCTGCCTCGTCTTTTACTGAGTTGACACTTCAAACCGAGCTTTTCATGGACAAGGAATGGTTCTAATTTCTGCTGATAAATCTAAAGTAGAATAGGATGTGGTAAAAAGGCTGCTTTTGGACCCAAGTGTGGGTGGATGGACTGATGCTAAACTTATATCTTCTGTGATTGATCTTAATTATACAATTTCCATGCCTATCTGATAAGGAATGGGTTATAAATACCACACTCAGTCTTAAGTATTGGTTTTGATTTTGATTTTTTTAAAATTAATTGTTGATGAAACTCTTAACAATGAATTGTAGGATTTAAGGGTTGGAAAAGTAGAGATCCTTTAACATAATTATGTAAGTCCCAAGTATGTTGCATTGAAGTAGATTAATTCCACCTCTTCCTCTTTTTAAATTTAATTTTTCTCTTGAGCTTCTTATGGTCTGGATTTAGTAGCAAACTATATATTCTTGTACAAACTTAATGGTTTGTTTGAAGATTCCTACTCATTTCCCTCTAGAAACATTGCAACAAAAGATGTAACTTCATTAGATGTAACTTCATTTGAGGTATGAAAAAAAAGGTTTTGTTTTATGTGGATTTTATTTGCATATACGTTGAGACTATTGATATATTGAGTTTTTGCTAATTTTCATTATGACATTGCTTTTATGGGGCCATTGAATTATCTTATTAATTTTGGAAATGCTTTGTTGTTGTTTTAAAATTTCTTCATCATTTCTTAATACCTCAAAAATATTTTTGTCCTGAGTTGTTGGTTTATGTACTTATGTGAAGTTTGCTTTGTCATGCAGACAAGAAATGCAATAGGGTTAGTTGCTCCAGCTATTGCCGCGAGTTTAGGTGACACATACATTGGGCACCCTTGTCCCTGTGATAGGAGCAAGTGGATTTGCTACAACTGCAACTGCAACTGCTATAGGAACTATTGTCGGTAGTTTTAGATAATCTCTTAATAGTTGTCGATATGTTTAGAAAGTTAGATATGCATAGTTTTGGATGGTTTAAATTTTTTGTACAGTTTAGAACTTAAGGATATAGTTTTCGAATGTTTGGAATGTATAAACAATTGTTGAATGTTTATAATTTATGGATATAGTTTTTTTTTTAATGTTTCAAACAATATTTTGGTGGTTGATTGATGTTTTGTAATGCTTGTTTGTAATATTTGTTAGATTGTACCAAATTGGTCAAATAGAATTTGCTGAATTTTAAAACAAAATAAAAAATAAATAATTGCATATTCTACGACAGGCATAATAAGTCGTTGTATTACATATTTTACGGCGCGCAATCAGTGTCGTTATTTGTCTAACCAATTTACGGCGTGCAAAAGTAGTCATAGAAAAAGTAACGACGACGCACAAAATCTGTCGTTAAATAGTTTTTAACGGCGTCTTATAGCATGTCGTAGAAAAAGTAACACAACGTACAATATCTGCCGTTAAATAGTTTTTAACGGCGTACGAAACATGTCATTGAAAGTAAATGACTTTCCATGACTGGTCATAATATGACGCGCGCCTGCACGTCGTAGAAGGGTTTTTACGGCATGCATTGCGTGCTGTAAAAACCCTTTTTTGTTGTAGTGCTAGTTTAATGTACTCCTAAAATAGGTAATCTAGAACTACTCCTAAATAACTCTTCACAAGTGTGGTTGATGGTTGATGATTCCTTGATCCTCATTCCAGTTTCCTTTTGTAGTTGACTCATGGACTGGCTTTTCATTTTGATGTTCCTTGATTTTCTGCCTCTCTCCATGTTTATCCCCGTATTTTAGGAATTGTTTTTTGATTTCTTTCTAGATTCTCTGTTATCATCTTTCGTAGCCTTCTCTTTTTAGTCCCACTTCATGCTACGTCAACTATTTTAGCCATCCTTGCCACGTCATCGCTATGACCATTCGATGGAAGATTCCTAAATTTTAATCAAATTTAAAATTTATTATTATCAAATTGTATATTTTAATTTTTATATTGTGATGGTGGTGGTATTGATAGCAGTGGTGGTGGTGGTGGTGGTGGTGGTGATAGCAATAGTAGTGGTAGTAAAATGATGGTGATACATATGATGACTATGACAATGGTGATGAAGGTGATGGTGGCGGCAGCGGGAACGACAACGGCGGTGGCAATGGCGGTGGCGACGGCGGCGATGGCATGGTGGTAGTAGTCGTAGCAATGGTGGTGGTGGTAGCAATAACGATGATGATGATGATGGTGGTGGTGGCAATGCTAGTGGTAATGGTGGTAGTGAGGTTATAATAGTATTTAAAAATTCAGTCAGAATTAGGTAAGTTTCATATGATTTAAAATTTTCTTAAGTTTTAATCTATATTTTAAGTGGTATTTCAATTTTTAAATGATATCAATTATAATTATCAAATAGACTTAATTGATTATCAATTAATACATTCAATTTTATGTACTGAATCGGATTATTAAACACAAGTCATCCAAAGATAAATAAGAGAGGCACATACCATGTGCACCATAATAATATATTCAAAATTAAGTTTTTAATGCATATATTATTAGTGAGATTAGTCAAATATGTATACTCTTACACCATTCCAAATTATTTAACTGACATAAAATTAAGAACCAAAAAATATATGTATTATTGTGTTGAATTTTTTTAGTTTTTCATCAATTAAAAGATTTTATAAAGTACTTTTAGTTTATGAAAAAAGCAAATTAAATTTTTTGCATAAAAATTATATTATTTTTAAGTTCTTTTTGGTATTGGTCAAACAATTTAGGGACAATTAAAAAAAAAATCCCTAGATTTTAGTTTTTTTAACAAAATAAACCCTAAATTTTAATTTTATCAATTTAAACCCTAATATTTTAATTTACCTTCAATCTAAATGATTAACCTATTTTTCATAAATAAAACCGATGGAAAACGAGTATTTTAATCATTAAATTCAATGTAGGTATATATAAAATGTCTAAAATACTCTTTTTCATAGAGTTTAATGATTAAAAAAATATTTTTTCAATCAATTTTACTTAACAAGAATAGACAAATGGTTTAGATAGAAAGCAAGTCAAAAGTTTAGGATTTAAATTGATAAAATTAAAAAATCATGGTTTATTTTGTTATAAGGGTCTAACTTTGAGGATTTTTTTTGTAATTATCCCAACAATTTATAACATAGATAGTATTTTTTAAGGTAAATTACATTTAGATACTACTTTTTAGGATAAATTACATTCACATTCCTTGAGATTAGATGAAAATGCATTGGCCATCATATTTTTAATATAATTACACTAATCTACTTTATTGTTTTAATTCACATAATAATTATGTCTTTTTAATTAGTAATTTATTAATTATATGAATTAAGAAAATGATATTGCCATATATTTCTTACTAAAGTGTATATTTATTTTTGTTTATTTTAGTATTGACCCATTATCTATATTAATTTTAATTATTTTAATTTGACTAAACAAAAGTAAATAATTATGTTAAAATATGGAATTAACTATCTTTTGTCCAAACCTCATGCAGGTTATTGGAATTTACTTTATTTTTTAATATTGCATATGCTATTAGTACGGAATTCACGTGTTTCATATAACAATACAATCACCATTTCTTGTCCTTTGGTTGACGTGGATAGATCTCAATGACCCCTTATTTTTTTAAAAAATAAAAATACCAAATAGATAGCTCTGGAAATCCTCCACCGTATCCTATGTAACTTATCACAAAATATATAATTTTATTACTAAACTATGTAATATTAATTATAAAATGTGTAATCTCGTTATAAATTAACATGATAAAAATATTGTAACCAAGTTATAAAATTTTATAACATTAACCACAAAATCACAAACTTTTGCAAGATTAATTACAAAATTTGAGAAATTTTTATTATGCTAATTTGTTGTAAGATTACACATTTTGTGATTCATATTACAAAATTTTATGATAAAATTATACATTTTTATGATAGGTTACAGATAATGTACACCCCTAAATGTGCCCACAGGATAATTTCCCCTCACTGTACAAAGCTAGTGTGAGGTGAATAAATACAGGCGAGAATGATTCTTTACTGAAATTGCAAGACTATTTTGAGAATACATTTGGAGCTCTCTTTCAGCTGGGAATATATTTGTGTAGAATTGTTCCGTCTTGCCTAGGCATTCACCAATATCATAATATTTATGTATATATTTATGGACAACAACTCTTCAAAAACTAATCTAGAGCTGGGTTTCCCAGGAAATCTTGGTTTGCACCCTTCACTCCACTGCTTGTGAGGATCTCTTATTTATTTACAATTTCTATCACTTCCTATCCATTTATTTATTCATCCATGTGGGGTTTTGCAATACAATTTAATAATGATTCTCCAAGTTGTTTGTTTTTTAATATATATATATATATATATATGTAGTTCTAGAGAAGAGAAAGAGTTAGGGAATGAGGTAGACTTCATTCCCTTTTATATTGATAATACTGAGTAATTATAGGAGTGCCATAAGGCATAATAAAAGGAAACACAATTACAGAATCACGTATTTCCTATTCTAACACTCCCCCTCAAGCTGGTGACAAAATATATCTCATTCCCAGCTTATTGAGAATGCCATGAAATGGTTTGCTCCCTAGCCCCTTGGTGAGAACATCGGCTAGTTGGTCTTCAGTCTTCACAAATAGAATAACATATGATACCACTAGTGAGTTTTTCCTTAATGAAGTGCCTATCAATTTCCACATACTTGGTTCTATCATGTTGAACTCGAATATGAGCTATGTTGATTGCGGCCTTGTTGTCACAATATAGTCACATGAAGTCATTCTGATGGATTTCCAAGTCTTCCAACAATAGTTTAATTCATAGTAACCCACATACACCTTGAACTATAGCCCTAAATTCTGCCTCAGCACTAGATCTAGCAGCCACATTATGTTTCTTACTTCTCCATGTGTCTAGGTTGCCACCAATAAATGTGCAATATTCGGAAGTTGATCGTCTGTCAGTGATGGATCCAACCCAATTTGCATCAGTAAATGCCTCCACACTGAGATGGTCATGTTTCGAGAAATATAGACCCTTTCCCGGAGAAGCTTTCAGGTATCTCAAGATTCTCATAACTGCCTCTAAGTGGGAAGTTCTCAGAGCATGCATAAACTGACTCACCATACTCACGGCAATGGCAATGTCTGGACGTGAGTGGAATAAGTATATGAGCTTTCCCACTAGTCTCTGGTATCTCCCCTTGTCCACTGGATCTCCCTCTTGATCCTCGCTCAGTTTCTGGCCCGGTTCTAGAGGTTTATCACATGGTCTACTTCCAAGCATTCCAGTTTCCTTTAGCAAGTCAAGTACATACTTCCTCTAGCATATGAAGATGCCATCCTTGGACCGAGCTACTTCAATGCCCAAAAAATATTTCAAATAGCCTAAGTCTTTGATTTTAAACTCCTTGGCTAAGTATTCTTTCAAACGAGGAATCTCCTCCACATCATCTCCTGTCAAAATAATATCATCAACATAGACAATAAAAGTTGTGGTCTTACTATGTGAGGAGTGTTTCAAAAACAAAGTGTGATCGGCTTGACTTTGCTTGAACCCATATTTCAGCATAGCTTGAGCAAACCTTTCGAACCAAGCCCTAGGAGATTGCTTTAGTCCATCAAGTGACTTTCGGAGCCAGCATACTTTACCTTTGGACTTAGCATCCGCAAAACCAAGAGAAATATCCATATAGACCTCTTCTGCTAGATCTCCATGAAGGAAGGCATTCTTCACATCAAACTGATGAAGTGGCCAATCCAAATTTGCAACAAGAGAGAGCAAGATTCTCATAGAATTCGTCTTAGCAACCGATGCAAATGTCTCCTGGTAATCCACTCCATAAGTCTGAGTGAAACCCTTAGTAACCAGTCTTACTTTGTACCATTCTATGGAACCATTTTCTTTGCGTTTTACCGTGTACACCCACTTACACCCAACTGGATTTTTGCCTCTAGGTAATCCACCTCCCAAGTGCCACTCTTGCTGAGAGCTCTCATCTCTTCCATCATGGCATGCTTCTATTCAGGAATAGAGAGAGCATCCTGAAAATTGGTAGGTAGACTCACAAAAGACACTTTAGACAGAAAAGTTTTATATGACGAAGACAGATTAGAATAAGAGACATGATTAGTAATAGGATATTGAATACATGACCTAACCCCCTTCCTATTAGCAATAGGAACATCAAGATCTGAAACATCAGGAATAGGAGCACTAGAATCAGAATTACCTAGACTCTCAGGAGGGGTTTGACTCTGGACACTCATCCGGAGAAGTTGGCAGTAGAGGAAGAAAAGTAGTTTCTTACATCCAGGTGACTTGTTGTCTGTCCTTATCCCTGATATAAACTCTACCTGCCTCCTTTTCCTTAACAACTGTTGGCTCATCATCTTCTATCTGTTCAACCACGGGCGGAAGTGCAACAAGAATCTCTTCACACCAAGGCTCCCCCTGAAGGGATGACTGTGATACTGGGGAGGTCGGAAAGTAAGGCTGAGACTCAAAGAAAGTGACATTCATGGAGACAAACCATTTGCGAGTGGGAGGATGATAACACTTATAACCCTTTTTGGTGGCAAAACAACCTAGAAAAACACACTTAAGGAACCGAGGATTGAATTTACCACAAGTGGGTGAATGATTATGGACAAAGCAAACGCAGCCAAAAGTCTTAGAAGAAATGGAAAACCCAGAAGAGGTCAACCCGAACGAAGAGGGGTTTGTTTCTGAAGGACTTGAGTAGGAAGTCGATTAATCAAATAAGTGGCAGTGAGAACCACTTTCCTCCAATAGGATCGAGGAACCCGCATCTCAAAGGATAGACAACAAGCGACATCAAGGAGATGGCAATTTTTGCGTTCCGCAACACCATTTTTTTGAGGGGTATTAGTGCATGAAGTCTGATGAATAATGACATGAATGGCGAAGTAAATGGCAAGACCAGAGTCAATATATTCCCCCCCATTATCAAAACATAGAATTTTGACAACCGCCTTAAACTGAGAACAAACCATTTTATGGAAGTTTTGAAATACAGAAAATACCTCACTTTTATCTTTCATCAAATAGACCCAAGTGGCCCGGGAACAATCATCTATGAAGGTAACAAACCATTTTTGATTGGTTAAAGACACAAAACGGGATGGACCCCATACATCAGAATGAATCAAAGAAAATGGAAGGAAACTTATTAATAGAATGAGCAAAAGAGGCTCTGTGTTGTTTTCCAAGTTGACAAGACTCACATTGAAAATTTAACACATTATTTTTCTCAAACACAGAAGGAAATAAGTGTTTAAGCAATAAAAAGAGAGTTGTCCTAAGCGACGGTGCCACAGCCAGATGTCTTCCTTGGCGGATGGTAACTAAATAGATGAATGAGCCAGCTTGTCGGTCTGATCCAAAATGTAGAGATCGTATTCCTCTCTACCACTGCCAATCCTCTTCCTCGTGATGAGGTTTTGAAAAAGACAATGATCAGGAAAAAATATCACGCTACAATTTAAGTCACGGGTAATACAACTCAAAGATAAAAGATTAACACCAAAATTTGGAACATGGAGGATAGTGGACAATGGAAGGGAAGAGGTAGCATGAATTAAACATTTCCCTGACACCGATGACATAGTACCATCAACAATACGCACTTTTTCCTGACCTAAGGAGGGGTTATGCTCTGAAAATAAATTAGAGGAGCCAAACATATGGTCGGAAGCACCTGAATCAATAATCCATGGTACAGTCGTATGAGAAAGCATTGCATATGGAGAGGAAGCGAAGTTACCTGAATTGGCAAAAGAAGAAGAGGGTGCACTTGTAGTAGAAGTGGAGGCTAGACGGTCTAGCAAGTGGCGAAGAGCAATCTCAAAATATGAGGCAGATAACCCCGAAACATCAGCAGCAAAGGAGACAACTGGAGATGAAGATGGTGACTCAACAGTGTCTAAAAGATGTGCTCGTGCATTGGTCCCTCGGTCTCTAGACTGACCAGACCTACCCCTCGAGTACTAGAACGGTCTCCACGGCCACCAGAGGAGGTTCCATGCAGCTTTCAAGAAGTCTCTCGTGTATGGCGAGGTCTACGGCAGTAGTCACAGAAAAGATTATCCTTCTCATATAAAGGACGAGGACCATGAGTCACACGGTCGCCATCTTGAGGGGGTGCAAAAACCAAGGCCAGTGGCGACTCTCCTCATTCTGCACAAAAGCAAAGGCTTCTTGGAGAGAAAGAAGCACATCCATGGCAAGAACTCTGCTCCGAACTGGATCATACTCCACATTAAGGCCTTCCAAGAACTTGAAGACCCTCTCTTGCGCCACAAGCATCTGGCAACTGACAAAATCAATGGGACATACAGGCTTGTAATCCTGAAGGTGATCAAGGCGCTTCCACCCATTGCTAAGGGAGGTAAAATACTGAAGGATAGTCATCTCACCTTAGACCCACCATTCAATGGAGCGATGTAACTCAAAAGCCTGTGATAAGTCCCCTTCCGGGAGTAAGTGGTAGTCACGACCTCCCAAATATCCTGAGCAGTGTTCATAGAGAGATAGCCCTCTCCAATCTCAGAGACTATAGAATGGATCAACCAACCCATAATGAGGGAGTTGGTGATCTCCCACTAATCATAACTCGGGTCTATGGTGATGGGTGCCTGTATTCAGCCATCAACATACCCCATCTTCCCTTTGCTCTTCAAGAAAATAGTCAGACTCTGCGACCACACTAGATAGTTATGACCATTGAATAAAGAAATGGTGATTTTAAAGCCAAGGTTGAGATTATCAGTCATAGTAGAAGGGATAAAGGAACTCTCGCTCTTAGGCGGCTGAGAAGTTGTGGACTCACTAGTGAAATCTGCCATGAATAGTCTACTGAGAAACCCTCAAACCAATGCCAATTACAAACTCGGAAGATGGAGGAGGAAAGCACACTATGACCACAAAAAGATCATCAAAAGAATAATAATTGTCCTGTTTAATAATTGTCCTGTTTTTTTTTTTAATGGATCATCATGTTTTTTTTTTTGTGTTTTTGGTTTTTTTTTATTTTTTAACATATATATATATAGATAACTAGGTTGACACCATTAACAACTACCTATAGCATTACAAGAAAAAGAAGAGAGAGAAGAACGAACTGTGATAGAAACGGAGTCGACTGAGAGAGCCGACCGAAGCCGAGGAGTCGAACAAGACCCCGACGGAGGCCATGAAAGCCCGAGAGGCTGTCGACAGGCCTCTAGGGTGCCAGAGAGTCTGCTGATAGACTCCCTAAAAGACTGGGTGACTGTCGATGCCTTGGGTGAGGCTGTGGGTGACTGTCGATGGCCTGCGTGAGCGGCTATGGGGCTGACTGAACTCCTGGGAAGAAAGAGCTGCCGGCAGTGATAGTAGGGTGCTTGCTGACAAAACAGAAAAAGGTATGGGCTAGGATTTTGGCTCTGATACCATGTGGGTGTTTGGGAAGTGAGTTTTTTTATAGATTTTTTTAGTTGTAGGATATTATTAGAGAAAAAAAATTTTGTGTTTGGGAAGATAGTTGAGTTTTTTTGTAGTTGGATGTGATGTTTGTAAGAGAAAAAGTGAAATGATTATGGGGTTTGATATAAACATTAATATGATTACGATAATGGGTAGCTAAAATATTGGGACTTAGATTATTCCCATGTAAACTTGTTCTAGTTCCCCATATAAGTTTGTTCTTGTGTACTAAATTTCAGATTCAAATTATTCTATGAATTCAATTTTTTTGTTTTATGCTGTTAAATATCCCTACATTATTTGGGTTTTCTTTTTTCTTTTTTATTTTGAGGACTTGGGTTCTGAGAGTTTGGGACCCACTTTGTGCGGTAATCTTGATCCTATATCTTCAAGTTCTGTATTGTAAGCTTCACTTGCTTGTTGCATCTGTTAACAGGTGTCTGATTTTTTGAAAATTTCATGAAACAATGCTAATCTGAAATTTGCTGAATAATCAGTTAGGCAATTGCTGGCTTGCATAGAAATGTAGACTGGTCTATTCATTAGGAGAACATTGATGGTGGTGTTATTTTGTATGTGGGTGCCTATGAAAGTCATTGGTAGGACTGGAAATGCTAGTGTTTCTTCCTCAAAGCTGAGTGTAGTGAATATTAGAGCTTTGTATACCTTCAATTCTGTTATTGGACGATCAACAAAGCCAGTAATTGAAGCTGCGGTTGATGATGTCAATTCTGATTCAACTGTTCTTGCTGGGATGAAATTGAATCTTATTTTGCATGACACGAATTGCAGCGGCTTCC